TGAAAAAAACTGACCTGTCACATCACAAACACTGAAATCATGGATTCTGGTTCTGTTCGCAATTTGGAAGATAAATAATATGTAATTCCAGAAACCAAAATTAAAAATTTCATACCTTGTGCAAGCATGTTAAATTCCAAGAATAGTGCTATGTGGTAAAGTTCCATGGCTTCTTCTGCCCTGGTCATGTTTGGCTTCCCTGCGACGAGAGCCTGAACTTCACTGAGACTCCCGACAGAGGGGCTACAGTGCAAAACGGAGAGGTCCACCATGTCCGTATACATACAGTGTAATATAACTTTCGCATATTTTTTTGGTATAATGGACTCATCTAATATAATTCTTGTGGGAGTCCTCAAAGTTCGGTCTGTGATTTCTTCACCAGTCCGTATCCTCCTCTGCAATAAATTTCGAAAAAATGGGGACCGTGCTGAAATGATAGCCTTGTGAGCTTTGAGCTCTTCATCTAAACAGTTCTGATTTCCACCAAAAGCTTCAACCAGTTCAGAATCTGAAGAAAAACTAAGGACGACATCATAATAACACATGTAATCAAAAAGTCCACGCATATCTACATCAAGGGAATTTGGTGTTCCAAATTCTTCACTAAGCTGAACGAGGATATCAACATTTTGAAACCTTGAGTCCTCCATTCCAAACTCTCCTGTATAAAGGTAGTGTAACAAAGCAGAAAACATGGGCATATCTATACCAGCTGTATTGATGTCCATTATTATCTCTGCCCCATACTCGGGTGAGGAAGAAAGCAGTGTTTTAAAAAATGGACACCTTGCTGCCAAAATGGCACGATGAACAGGAAAACAAGTTTCTTGAAATATTAAGTCTACATCGGTACAATATTTGTACTCATAAAGATCGGCCATATCTTTCTGCAGTGTCCGGGCTTCTGGTCTAGCCAAACTGGCTTGCAGAGAAAGTTCCTTTAAGGCTGAAGTTCCCTCATATTCCTCCACTAATGCATTAACATCTCTAACATCCCACCCAGAGAGGAGTTCTCGCATCTGCTTGGCATGATCAGCAGACCTATTAGATTTCCGACGCTTAATAAACTTCTTTTTGAGGGTGGCAAGGCCAGAGGTTCTCTTTTTTTTGTCTTGTGGTTTCTCATGGCCGTGATCAAGGCTATATAATTTTGATTCACAACCATAGCCTTGCTGAGAGTAGGATGATGTCCCTAAGAAGGAAATTAAACAAATTAAAATTTGTTTTTTTTAAAACACTAATTTTCAACATTCACTTTAACACATATTTCATGCTAACATCTTTTTTATAGACATTCCTGAAACATTCAAATAAAATTGATTTCTGTTTTTATAAAGGAAGATAAAAAGCTCAAAAAACTTATTTTTATTTAATAAGGAATAGAGATAAAAAGGGCAGATTTTTCTTAATTTTAAAAAATGCTTTTGGTTCTTCTCTGGCTATCAAGGACCAGATATCATAGAGCTTAATCATGGACTCTGAGGAAATGAGAATTAGGCAGATTTGTAATTAAGAATATTACTTCTATATAATTGTAAAGTGTTTCTTTTTTTTCTTCTTTACTACACCAAGGCTGCATTTGTATTGGGGAAAACAAATGGATTTAGGACAGAAGAAACATGTGTTTTACACCACTGGAGGTTGCTGATTTTCCTATGGTAATTGGAAATTATGGTTAAGACAACCAAAGAAAAGATCAATTGTGCTATAGCAGCTTGGTTTAGGATAAAAAGCACACAAGCCAGATTTACATTTGTTGGGCAAGAAATCTGGATGCTGCACAGTTATTACCTACAACTTTTTCACAGCTCAGTTCTCTTTTCATCCAAACAGACCACTGAAAATACAATTCTATATATTCACAAAAGGAAATCAAGTTAGAAAAACTGAAAGTTACCTATAAAAGTCTGCTGGGCTTGAGAATTTCCCCCTACCCTTGGGGAGCATGAATGAGGATAGTTAGATGCATTAGCACCCATTTTCTTCAGTCACTCAGGCAGTCCATCTGCTGGTTCTTCAGAGTATAATCCCAGAGGCCTTTATGAACTTTCAACCCTGGATCCAGCAGCCTCTTTTCATCCATTTCTTGATATGAAACAAAAATAATTTTATTCATTTTTTCAAATATATCACAAATTGCAGTTAAAAAAAGCAAGCTACTGAAAACTTTTATTTGCAAATAATGACATGCTGTCAAATTCACATGTAGAAATTTCAGAAAATGTAGTTAAACTTGAATTATGAATCAGTGTTAGCTGCAATTTTGAGCCATAACATGTACCAATTACTTTTTAGTCGTAGAAAGTACATATCAGACTAAAATATAGTTACAGAAAGAGTATTTCAAATCACAAGGAAAAATCTGTAGACTAAAAAGAAAGTTCTCATTTTTTTCTAATCCTTAGACACCAACATCAGCAATAATCTAACATTCTAAGCCATTTATAAACACATAAGAGGCTGATACAAAGAGCATATAATTTATTGGTTTGTTATTTTTCTACCTTA